TGTTAACAGGTTTAGTGAGTTTTGTGTTTTTATGTAGCTCACGGACGGAATTCATTGAATTTATTTCAAAAAATTTTAAAAGCTCAATTGTCTACGCCTACAAAATGACAACCGGTCATTTATTAATGCAAAGTCGATTTCAAATCGACGCAGAAACTGCCATCTAACTTAAAAATCTGAAAGTATATCGTCGTACACGAGCTAAAAGGCGGGTAAAATGGCTTTATTGGCTGGGTGTATGACATTAAGTGCTGCTGTGGCTTTTAACTTATTATCTTGTGGAGAATGGGTGAAAAAGTGCTCGTAGCCGCCACGCGTTTTTTGACCCCATAAAATTTAGCATTGAAGCAGTGCTGCCCTCACTTACGAACCCTGCCTCTATGTGACGTTGTATTTGATACCTATCTGTCAGAAAAGGTCCACAATTTTAGAAAGTTTGACGCCCTTTACTGGGTGTCGTTAGAGTAATGACGTATGTAGTCGTCTTGTCGTGGATTTCATAAATGTGCTGACAGAGATTAATACGGTAAAACTAGCGATTGAAATGCTGAATCAGTTTTTGAAGAACTATGAGAAATAAATCTTCTTTTTGAGACAATATTTTAGTGTTACCCTGACTTCTAGACTTCAATTACAGTGAGAATTTCTTTATTTATGACAATAAACATATCTTACACTTTTTTGACTGAGCTAATGATCATTTGAAATTTTGAATTGAATCAACAATGGTTGCTTGGTTGAGTAAGCATGAGATTGCAAATCAATACTTGACAATAAATAACTGATTTATAGCTCTTTGACATCTAAAGGTACAAGATTTTAATTTTAGGTAAATTCTTAAACTTAATACCCTTGCCGAATAAGAATGTATTACTTTGAAATGTTGACCATGAAAATAGAGTAATTAGTATTTTATAATGTTTTGATTAGGTAAACATTTTTATTACTTTAATTTATTTAAAAAAAAAAAAATAAGATCGAATAAATTTAATTCACAAATATTAATCATTTTATCAATTTCCTTTTCAGAAAAAATATTACCGACCCTTTTTTTAGATACAAGTTGGAATATTTTTCTTTGTCTTAAATAAAAAGTAAATAAGTGCAGCTCTCGAGTCTTGATACATGAAGTCTAGTTGCACGGTCAATTTATAATAAATAAGTCAATCAAGTTATTGATTTTTTCGCATACCGAACGAGCTAAGACCGAAATTTGCTCAGAACGCAGCTACCCTATATTTTTTGCGTAAAAGCCTGGAACTATATCTACATCTAAAAACGCCCTCTTACCAGTAGCCTTGACTCTATGAATGAAGGGGATGCGTACGTATTATACTATATAAACGTTTCGGAAAAACGTCGTGAGTCACATGGCGTACATGATATTTTGTACTCTTTATAGATACAGACTCCATTGGCGTATCGATTATTCTGTAAGATAAGACACAAACTATGCTCTATATGTGTTATGGGATGAGCTTTCGAATGGTCTTCAAAGTATGGGATCGAAGCACATGTCATGCGCCCAAAATCCCGAGGGTATAGCCCGATTGTGCGAACTCAGCCAGTCAGTAGTGTTTTGTCTTTCATTGACGACGGATGTGATTTGCCGTGTTTTTTTAAAATGAGTTACAATAGCGCCGCGTTAGTTGCGGCGCCGGCATTCGGATGTCGATCTTCTATCAAAGGACCAAATATTGTAAGTATCGAATTATTCTAATTACTTTCATAATACTTGTGAATAAATTTGTACCGTATTTTTATTATATTTATTAACTATGTAACGTGAGAATTTGATGATGGTAATAAATATTTGCTCACACAGAAGACATGAGCCACTTAAAAATATCAAATATTTTGATATTATTAACATTTAAATTTGACCATTGGTGGTCCGTTTTACCACTTTTGTTTAAATTATTATCATTTACGTGTACTTGTTAAATCACAAACACATGTAACTTAAGTAAATACAGTATAATAATGAGAAGAGCATTTCTGCTGTTGAGTTGGAAAGCTTTATATTTTTCAAAAAAACTAATACGAAGTCATTAACGTAGTTTTACAGAAAAATATTTTTTCGAAATCTCAAAAAATGGATTGGAAAATATTTATTTGTATCCTTGAAACCGTATCCCCTTAAATATGATACAACTTTAACAAAAATTAAATTGTCCAAGTGTGATAAGATATAGCATCAATATCGCATCCGTTGACTACTATTTCCGTACATTGCAGTTAATTTAAGTTTTAAATAATCTGAGTTATACTTTATTGTAAATTCATTAAAATTTTTTTAATAGGCAAAAGGAGATAGTTTTTATCTTTATATTCCAATCATATGTTTCTGTGAAAGATAGATATTTAGTCGATAAACAGTGCTTTCGTGAAAAGTGTCTGCTATTATGAATGTATAAAGTTTTTAATTACTACAATTTACTATATTAACATTAAAGTACAAGTATAGCATCTCTGTCTTGACGGTAAAATATAATATAATAATATCACGAAATCGTTCGTGATTTATATTTTATCCATTCAACCTAATTTAGCGTCAGTAAAACATTGCATTCTCTACTCAATTTACGCAGAGTTCCTCAAAACCGCCCTCTTTTATATTTTCTTTGTATGAACTTTATCTGTACATACATTTTATCGATTAATGTTGTCTTATTCTTGCAAAGAAAGAAAATGCTATTGCCCATAGATCTTAGCGTATAAGGCAACGCAATTTGACGGAAACGAAAATGATGTTACAATTATTGACACTATGTTTCAAGTAGTAAAATAATTGATTCATTCATTTCTTTCAGATTGGAGATTTATATAAAAGTGTCGTATACATAATTCAACATCAAGTTGGATGTGATAAACAAAATGCTGTTGAAAAAAGTGAAATTTTAAATTATTTAAAAAAAGCTTTCAACGCAGATGATGAAACGCATAAAAAAATCTTGAAAGAAGCTCAAAAAGAGAAGGTACTTTTCAATTTAACCATACTACAATTGAAACATTTTATATTTCTGAATAGCAACAATTTTTCGACTATTTTAGAAATCTGAAATGAAACTTAAGGTCGAAGTCATAGAAGCTAAAGAATTAAGTCCTAAAGATGCCAACGGCAAAAGTGACCCGTACTGCAATGTATATTTGAATTCAAAACAAAAATATGGTCGTTCAACAACAGTCCATTACGAAACTTTGTCGCCAGTATGGAAAGAGCATTTTGAATTGTACGTACATTAACTTCATTGCTTTTAATAATTAAATATCTCTATAACTCTTATTAATTTTTCAGCGTTTCGGAACACCCAGAACATGATACTTTGACAGTGGAAGTATGGTAAGATTTATTTTAACGGATGCATTTTAATATAAATTATTACAATTTACTTCATGAGGGAAATACTCATGATCCCAACAAAGAAATCAGTTTAGATTAAACTGAACTAGAATCATTAATTTTTAAATTACAATTAAAATGGTGGATAGTTTAAAAACAGCATTATAATTTTGACTATTCGATAATCTCTTTAGAAAAAAAGTTAATTACAAAACTTTGTAGGAGAAAAAATCAGCAAGCTTTGCTTCGTAGCATGGTTTAACATTTCAAGCTCGAGAAGCAAATTGAAAGAAGAAAAAGAAGCTCCGAATTTTTACATTGAGCTTTAGAACGGTTGCACGCGATGCGATGCTGCGTATGAAAATCGCCTTTTCCATATGCGTAGTCACGTGCAGCGCGTAGATGTTCAGTGGCTTTGTTTTACGCGTGTTTGATTGCAGATTTTTTGTTGATGTCTAATAATTATTTCTGATGCATGCAGGAACATGTCTGTGATTCTTCAATCATTTATTTCGGTTAAAAATTTTATGGAATACACAGCTTTGTACTAGCTGTTTATTAATCGATCAGCTGATTTTTTTTTTCTGATTCTCAATTTTAATGAGCAAATTATTAAAGCATAGAGCTTATTTTTGAAAAATTTAGATGTAAATTTCGGCTTTATTTTAAGAAATTTTTTGTCAGTGATTGAAAAATTATCAAAAGCCTACGAGTATGATCACTGATAATTTCTGTTACTTTTTATACCCAATGCGCTCCAAGATATTTAATTTCCATTTTTTAGGGATTGGGATGATTTTGCAACAACATCAGAAGCAATTACAAAAGTAAAGACAGTCCGAGGATTCAAAGGTTTAGTAAAATATGCTAAGGATGTAACATTAACTGCAACATCAGGGCAGCACGGACATGAGCTTATAGGGAACATTCAAATCCCATTGAAGGTAGATTACTTTACACGAATTGTGTTTGAATATTTTCAGTAAAAAAATACCTTATTTATTAGGATATTCCACTACATAACGAGGTAGTTTGGTACACAATAGAGAAAAAAGGAAAAGCAAGAAATCGTGGAAGTGTTAGTCTACGTATGAGCTTCCATGGAAAACATTCGCGGACGGGGTATCGAGATCATCGACATTTACTGCGTACTCTTCTGAAACATGAACTTAGGCTGAGAGATCCCGGAATGTATCGCTGGAATAATCAATGGCAGAAACCTGCTTCGGCCATAATAGTGCAACATGTGATACACCTAGATATCCATAGTAAAGATTCATTGTTGGCTCGGTACGTCGAATTCTCCGAAGTTCATTACAACAATCCATTAAATTATGAAGTATTCTATCAACTTCTGCAAGAACTGAAAGACTTGATGAAAACTGAAAAGTTTTCTGAAGAGGAAATGAAAGATTACTGGGTCGCTACTCGAAGACTTTTGTACGTTGGACTCGATGTATTGCGTCAAATCCGAAGATTGCAGTGTGACGATGAGCACAAACTCAACCAATTAGAAATAATTCTTAAGTTTGTATTTAAATTCTTTTTTTCTCAAAATTGTTTGATTGCATTTGAAGATTAAATACAATTTTCCAGAATAATTGCAGAGATGAAATTTGATAATTTGTCTAAAAATTTTAAGATGTTTCCTTTGAAAATGTATTCATGGTTTCCCGAGGATATTCATGTTAAAGATGATATTGAACTACTGGATGCTTTAGAGTGCGCAATTATTAAAGGAACAGACGATTGGTAAATATTTTCATATAATAAAATAGAGTATTTGATTAAGAGATTTTTGTTACAGGTTTGAGTATTACATGTTAAGTTCGAATGTCATTAAAGATACAGATGATATGAATCAGTGTATTGATATTATTCATAACGTTGAAATAGACTTGCAAAAAGCTAGAGATCAGTACGAAAACATATTTATTGAGTAAGTACAACATTTTTGTTTTTGTTTTCCAAGTATTAGCTAGCAGATACTTAATACTCTGTTTCAGAACCATTAACTATCCTTATACAAGAATTGTCTACATTACGTATGAAAAGAAAATAAGCGAAATGTGCATTTCCATTGTCAAAGATATATGCAGCAAATTCAGTATATCAGATATGTCATCTTGGGAAATACTTTGCACTAAACTATTCAAGTTTTATTTTGTTGTTCAACAATTTGCAGAGTAATGCATTTTTCGTGCTGCAATAAAAAATTCATCTTTTTCATAATAAAATGTTTTAAAATTTCAGGCTAGGACAGATTTTGTGTTCTGATCAAACGATGGAGCATATGCAAATTCACGACTATCATGATTGGTTCGAGCCAGGAGTGATTTTCTGGTTGAGTATGACCTCTGCAAAAGCACGATCTGTAATCGATCGTGCTATCGAGTTCGACAAGTTTCAAGCAGTAGATTCAAGTGTACGGTATACTTCTAGCGCCATGGATCTTCTTACTATTTTTCACGAGATTAAGGATTTCTGGTTAAAACTCGCTTGGCCTGAAGGTGAAAAAACTTACAAAATTCTCATGAAAATTGTCGATGTAAGTAGTGCAATGAAATCAATGATCTTTGATTGTTTTTACAATTTTTCAACATTCAGAAAATTATAACTTTAATAGGATATATGTCGGTGCTCTTTGGTATATGTAGATCGAATAGCTGCCAAATTTACCGATGATTGCACGGATTTCATGACAAGTACTCTCGTTACTTTATTAACTAAATCGTTCTATGTTTCCTCGAACTGGTGCTACTCAGTTAATAATATTTACTACATAAAAACATCTATAGAATCTCTTTTTGTAAATGATCTCCAAGTCGAAAAAGTATTTCAAACAATAGATCGTACAATGAGCCCTGTAAATGCCAAACAGAGTGAAAGAAAACTTCGATCCCTCATGGATGAGACAAGAGGTACTATGGACAATCTGATCGCTACAATGCAGAGCTCTGTTGTTACAAATATGACTCCGACAATGGCAAGGTAGATAAAAAATTATGAAATGAATTTCTTATAAATAATAGTAGAATCGTGCTCTTGATTTAAAAACCATTTTCAAGGCTTTTGAAAGATGGTACAGAACAATTCGACTCGAACAAACCATTTATGGAGAAACTCATGGAATATTTAGAACAAAATTTACATACGCTTCACGAACACCTTAACGAAGAAGCTTTCGAAAAATGTTTGCAACTTTTATGGGGCATGATGTTCGAGTTGTTTCATCGATTGACTGAGGATAGCTTAAAGGTAAAAAGAAAGAATAACATTTTCCCCTTATCAAAATGAAATGAAAAACTTCAGAGTTGTTTTAAATTTTTATTCTTTGCAAAAATGTTTGTTGGTTTTTAGGAGAAAAGAACACCGAGTTTTTATACGAATTTACATCAGACACTCCTCGTGCTTATTCGTTTCTTTCGTCTTGGAAAAGAAGATCAAGATTATCGAATAATTGCAAAGATTGAGAATCTTTTAAAACTTTATGGTTCAGACTCAAGTGAACTAATTTACAATTACTACAAGGACAGATTACAACAACAAAATAATCAAAATCACGAATTTTTTGGGGTTCTCACAGTGAAGGCATACTTTTTATACGATAAATTACACTTGCAAATTCTTAATGCAAGAAATTTGAAGAGCGTCGATAGTAAGTATAAGAGTTATAATTTCTTATGTAATATCACCTTAACATTACATAACGTCATATTTCTCAAATTTCTGCAAGTTTTTGAGCAAAAAATATTTTTAATGTATGAATTTCCGTTTTGTTTTGAAAGATAAATATATCGTTTTTCAAAACTTGAATCTCAGTTGTAGTCTAATTATACACTCGGCAACAAAATTATCGCAACAAAAAAATTCATCGAAATTTTGTCGATTTTCAAATGCTTCTATCTTGGGCTAGATTTATCGTATCGACACGCTTTTTTTTTTAATTTCTTGGAAATTTTGTCCTCTTTAAATCCATATAAATTAAGATAAGATTTGAGTTAATGTTGAGTTACCAGTAGTATTTGAGCGTGACCCTAAAAATTACTGAAAAAAAATGACTGTTTGAACGTGTACCAGTACCACAGTGATTTTTTTATCGAAATCTAACATACACCATCGCAAAGTGCTCTTTTCAACGAGTAATTTAAAAAAAAAAAGACCTCTCTACGATTTTTTTAACGCCCTGTAGGTCGATTTGAAGGTACGGTTTATGTACGCAAAATGCCCAGAAAATCGTCTTGATTTCAGGTAAACAGAGGATTTTACGTACTTTAAATGGTATCTTCAAATCGACCTACAGGGCGTTAAAAAAATCGTAGAGAGGTCTTTTTTTTTTTAAATTACTCGTTAAAAAGAGCACTTTGCGATGGTGTATGTAAGATTTCGATAAAAAAATCACTGTGGTACTGGTACACGTTCAAACAGTCTTTTTTTTTCAGTAATTTTTAGGGTCACGCTCAAATACTACTGGTAACTCAACATTAACTCAAATCTTATCTTAATTTATATGGATTTAAAGAGGACACAATTTCCAAGAAATTAAAAAAAAAAGCGTGTCGATACGATAAATCTAGCCCAAGATAGAAGCATTTGAAAATCGACAAAATTTCGATGAATTTTTTTGTTGCGATAATTTTGTTGCCGAGTGTATATAAAGTAATTTAGTGTATATGTGCAACCGAACTACTTTACATAGAAATGAGACTAAAGAAATGTATGAATTTACTGCACTTTTTCGTAATTTTTGTTATAGGAAAATGTAATACCTATGTCGAAACGAGATTATATCCCAACAAGATATACGGCACGAATGTGCTGAAAACAGGCGTTCAAAAAGACACGCAATTTCCGCTCTACGATGGAAAATTTGAAGTGTGAGTATGGCTTTGATTTTGCGCATGCGCCTGTTTAGCAATTCACCCTTACCTTATAAGATGCTTCACAACGTGCTCTCGCACCAACGGCCCAAAAATTCTTCCAAACCGTCCTCGCCGAATCTCACAGCCCAGTGCAGCCTGGCCAACATTAGTTGCAATCTCGCTTATTGTGCAGACGACCAAAATCTCACCCGCGGGACTGTAAATTTGCACGTTCAACTTTTGAATTTGTAAATAAACACCGTTGCAGCGTATTATACAACACAGTGGCGGTACCTACAAGTCGAAAACTAAAATCTAGCTCGACGACTGGAGGTAGCCCGGCTATTACAGAGTCATGTGGTGTAGTCCGAGATCTCTCCCCCCCTCTCTCTCTTTCTCTCTCTCTCTACGTCTCTCGCATCTTTTCGGCGGCTATTTTTTCGTAGCCCATGCGGTGCAAATACATGACTAACCGCACACGCTCGAGTTTTATGCCCGTCAGATGCTACATTTGCACAATAGAATTCGCGTGTATCCATATACATCTGCCCTCTTTTGTCTTCCTCTAACTCGCCCAACTTTCAAAAAAGAAAAAAATAATTCCTTTCTATTACGGTTGCGTAACCAAAACTTTTTGAGCATTTATTAACTTTGTTTTCACCACTTGGTATTTTACGAAGAATTATTTTATATGATGAACTTTGAATGTTTCGAACGATACCAGTTTGTATTAACTAACTAAAAGCAACATTTTTAAAATTTATTTCACCAGTGTTCTCACTCCAGAACAAAAGAAATATCCAGATGGACTTATTGCATTTGAAATTCTCATTCGAGAGTATTTCAAATCAAAGTTTTTGGCTGAATGTTTCCTTTCCTTGAGTGATATTCCAGAAATCAACGACTCGTCCGAAATAGCGGCAGAGATAGCTACATTGAAGCAAGTCCACTTAAAACTCTCACGGCCAACTGATCTAAGTATGTTTTCAATATTTCTACGGGCCTTCAATTGATAATGAATTCGCACCATCATCATTCATTTTTACAGATCATAGGGTTCTAAGCATACTGTCGAACCGGAAGGGAGATAGTTCAGCTGCTAATTTTGCAACAAAAGAAGCAACAAGAATAAATGCAAAGTTAAATTACACCTGACATAAACCAAAACCGGCGATAAGTATAGACTGTTCGAATTTCATTCAGTGCTGCGACGATATTCGAGAAAAACTGGTTACTATTATCTATTACACTGCTATTTACCTTATAAAATATAATTTTTAATTCGAGACGATTTTTTAATTTACAGATTCGGACTTGCAGCGTCGATCCACCTGATGAGTAATCTGATTAAATCGTTGTACAATTAATAAATTGTTATTGAAGAATCTCAATACTACTGAAAGTTAAAGATAATAGTACAGTTTTATGAAACAATTGTAATATTTCGAGAAATTTATTGATTTTATACATTTTAAAATATCGAAAATTTGTATGAAAAAATTAATGACTAAAATAATAGACGTAGCTTTACGTCGCTAAAATGATTGATAGTAATATTTCTTGATAATATAAAAGGTCGTCAGCAATAAAAATGTTGACTTTTCAAATGTGATATTTGAACTGGTACATCCAGTATCCATGACGATAATGTAGAATTAGAAGCCACATATTGGTGAAATGTTATTACAGAAATTTATAAATAATTTACGTTTTTAAAGGATTTATTGTAAATATTGATGATTTAGCTGTTGTATCTTGTATGAAAGCAATAAAAATTTTCATGATCTCATAGCGCTATTTATCGCAGTTTTCTTTCATGAAAGTAAACGTCGAAATATTTTTTGAGCTGCAACCGTTCAAGATTTAGCCTGAATGGTTAAATTTTCGACACAGTAACAAAATATTGCATCGCTCGTTCTTTATCTGAAGGTAAATCAGTTCATGGACGTGAATTAATATCTTTGTTCGCATGGCGTTGTAAACAAACAATAGGCATTTTGAAGCCAAACAATCGCCACTAATCAGCAAAGCTAATGACGAACTTGACGCTCGGCATTGATAATGCCATTGAAATATCAAAATGATCGATTTTTGTGCGAGAATTAGTACAACTTATGGCGTTTAAATGCTGAATAAACGAAATCCAGATTTTGACAGTCGAGCGCCATCTGTACGATTCGTCCTCACACTCAGACGTGCAGCTCGGACGGTAAGCGACATCGACTCGTCCCAAGCTATCGTTCCGATACGCCGGTCTGCATTTGAAAAATGCAATGATGCACTCGAAGCAATCGCCCAGTTGAATCGAGCGATCCGATGCATCCCAGTACACGCACATTATGCATTCGTTGCGAACCAACTCGATTGCCTTATAACACATACTAAAGTAGGCAGTCGCTGGTAAACGTTGTACATTGCGATGAGCGACGGTTCAGCCTTCGCCGATGACACACGCCGTCAGTGCTATATAAAAGAAATAGTATAGTACTCGCAGGCCGCTACACTGCATGCCGCTGACAATCGGAGCTCCTCTCGTTTTTACAGGTGTTAAATGTTTATGCAGCTCGGCCTCGCTCCCGGCCCGACTTAGTCGATTTTAGCACGTTCGGTGGTTCAGTTCGGTGAGTGCGAAGCAGACAAGTATAATAAGCACGAAAGATGGACGAGGAAAGAATGTGGAAGGATCTTTACCACAAAGTCGTCGCGGAGCAAGAGCAGAAGAGACAGAAGAGCTCGGATTCGCCGAGTAGCCATGAGGCCAGGTGATTTATTACAGCATTTCTTTGATTCTATACCTCTGCGCGCTTGATCGTATACGAGTACTTTTGACTTTGCATTAGAACCCCGCCCCGCGCTAAACAGTCTAAAATGTTTTTCAGCCGATTGTGCGCGATTAATTATTTATAATCTGCGTAGACGCAATCGCGGCCAATCGGCGCTAAGGATGAATCATATGACTAACAATAGGATTGCACGGCGTTAGAGCATGAAACGGATTCGGTCTAAAAATTGCTGCTACTCGCTTTTGCTTTGGGCTTCCGATCTTTTATCGAAAGAGACAAAAAATGTTGAGCTATTTTTAACCCAGCTCATTTGCAAGTACATCGCGTCTCCTACGTAAAGGAATTCATAATACAGTCGTCGAGTTTCGCGATAGTGAAAGGTGATGCTGCGAAGCCTATATATACATACATGTTTATAATCTCGTAACGTCATCGCTCTGCTGATGTGATTTAAGTCTCGGGCTCGCGTCGCGTATTACATCGACGTTCGCATATACACGAGCCGGTCTGACGAGCCCGCCTGCATCTATGCATCATTTGTACACGCGCCAATGTTTATAAACTTCCGCGCTAGCTGATCGGTAACGCAATTATATGCAAAATCGACAAGTACCCTGAATTTCGTCAAAGGTCATTCGCTGATCTTTGTTCGCCGTTTGACTCAAGGATTTTTCATGCAGCAATTGTCGAGACTAGTGCGGCTCGCATCCATAAATATCGCGATACGATCCATTCATGGGTATAGCGCGTCGAGAGGAGATCTGCATTATCGGCCACGATAAAACCGATTATACTGTAATCGGTAACAATTATAGTGCGCGCATTTTCTCGCGGCATTGATTTCTGCGTGATGATGCGTAGTCTCACAA